CCAAATGTGCAACTAATTAGTTACTTATATTTCACAGAGGCTGAGCTATGTAGACAAATGCCTACCCACACCGGCTAATAGGCTTGCCAATGTTGTATCTGTGGGATCAGCCCTGTGGAGGATGCGCTGTGTTGTATCCGTGCACACTAGAAACAAAGAAAGAGCCCCGTAATCAGCTAAACTAGCTTCTTAGACTTGGATCTTGTTATGGATGAGGCTGTGGGATCTGAACCCATGCTCGTTTTAATAATATTAGGATCTCCACTGGGCAACCCAACTTACAAATACTTCGTTTTAACTAGCTGCCTCTACTGGGGCTTAATTTTCAGCGGCCGTTAGTCCCGCAAGGGTCGGAAATCACGGAACAATCCCTCCAGAAACGATGAAGCTGGCCTGTGCAGTGAGTTACCCTGGGGCCAGTGGTATAATTAGATCTACTGAGGACTACAGTATTAATCTTCCATATTGTTCAGATGGCTGCTACGTCTTACATTTCGTAGCCAGTATAATAGTGGGGGGATAGTATTGAGGCAAGCAGGCAACATCGCGTTGCCTATAACATACGCTAAAACTACTACTAAGAAAGACCCACTTGGAAGAATAAATCCACCATGATCCGACCTTCCTTCCCTAGGATAAATAATAATGGCTCTATTAACTGATCTGCCCGTGGAGATTCAACATCGAATCTTGTCCTTCCTACATTCTCATCACGATGTTGCCGCACTCTCTTTACAATGCCGATCACTGCACGCCATCTGCGACATGCCCATGCGCAAGAAATACCGGCGATTGTGCATCGACAGCAAAGACAGCAGCTTGAATCAAGCATTTTCTCTCCTCATGGAAATTCTCAAGCGGCCCACTTTAGGCCGGTATGTGCGGCATATCGAATGCAGCCAAGGTCCCCCGTGTTTCGATGACTACACCGAGCGAACGAATTCACTACGAAACCTCAGTGACAAGGAAACGCAGCTGCTTCGCGCCGCAATCTGTAAAGCAGGATTCACAGGTTCAGAGACAGGTCGGATCCTCAACATGGTCATGCAAACCGAAGCCGGCGAGGAAAGGCCATGGCCCCCATACTTGTAATATCCACATGCAGCTTTCGTCGCTTACCATGCTAACATGTCACATAGTCCTACGAAGAGCCGAATGGCCTACATTTCACAGGCCTTGACGGCGCTGCTTATCTCGGTTTCGCCAGACTTAGAGTCATTGGCAACACCGCCACCGTTTTTCAACTACACTGGCTTTTACTGGCCCGAAGAAAGCCACGATTTCAAAACAGTCAAGTTCCCGCTGGAGAGGCTACTTCGCCAGGTTAATTCGGCGCCAAATGATATGCCATTCTTGCAGAATCTGCGGAATTTCTATGTTATTAATAATGGTGAAGACAGCTTCGGCGAGGACCGGTTTTACGTGCCTATGGACTTTATGGGAGCGATGCACCTGGTCCATCGCTTACCGTCTATGGAGATGGTTGGTACGGACATTTTGGAAGAAGACGAGAATGGGGCGCCGAGGGTGGAGCCCAGATCATCGAACATTAGTCGAATCGCCATTCGTCATTCTGCACTAGATATATTTTACCTCGCCAATGTCATATCCTCATGCAAGGTCCTGAGGGAGTTCCGGTATTCCGTCGGGGGCAGGGCAATCTCAGACGGAAGTACCCAGAGTTTCAACCCCAAGACATTTTTCTTCACCATCTTGCCGCACAGAGAGACTCTGGAAATACTGGATGTGGATGTGGAGTATTATATAGGTGAATTCAGCCCCGAGATCGTGGACGCTGAGGAATTGGACGAATTGTTTGAGCAACATGGTGGTCGACGTGATGCCGACCATGTATGGACAGGGACGCCTTCAGAATCATTATGGACACAGAGCGGATCACTGCGGGAGTTTTGCGCATTAAAGCAATTGAGTATCGGGGTAAACACTCTGATGTATTATGCTCAGGGGGTCAACCTAGCGAAGAGACAGTGTTTTAACCTGGTTGACAGCTTACCACCGAATTTAGAGTCGTTACTCATTCGGGGGTATGAGAAGGGTGAGTGCGATATGCATGACGCTCAGATCGATGCCCTGGTAGCATGGATATCTAGTGGCTCATCCAGTCTCACCGAAGTCCAAGGAATCACGGAGTGTATACCACATGCTGAGGATGTGGGCGATCCTGATGATGACGAGGTCCCACTGTGGGAACGAACGACATGGTTTTCGTGAATGAAATTTCAGACTTCTTATCTTGTAAATCGGAGAGACCGGTCTTTACTGGATGTATTTGTGCTTTTCAGACACTCATTGCATGGTGTGTGTATGCTTCTAGGCATCAATTTGTCTCCTGAAGTTATCCAACTCGATGAAAATCTGAACATTTCTCACCACCAGCCAATCAGGGTTCAGCAGTGACATGCCCTCGAAAGTCTTGGCATTGGCCATGGACCCTTTTTTATTTGAAATATCTCGACCTATTTTCTTTCCTAATTTCTTTTATATGTGCCATAAGCTTCTCAATGCGCTGTCGCTTTAGTATAGCATTAACATTCAAGGCCGGTTTGACGACTTGCCCCCGGCAACCTCGACTACCACGCGTCAGATATACAACAATGGCCCAACCAGTTGTTGAACGGTTACGAACGACGGATACGCTTGAGAATATCCATCATCGAGGAGACTTGCCTGTTGCTGCCTCTCAGTCCCTCGCTTTATCGGCTAGTGAAGATGATCCTGTGATTCGGCAAAAGTATCGCCCATTCATCCTCGACAATACAACAGAAGGGGACTGGGTCAGTGATCTGGAACTGACGACTGCCCTGAAAATAGCCGAGAACGACCTAAAGAATACCAACCAGAGACTCAAGGTCCTAGTACTGTACGGGAGTCTACGCAAAAGATCATACTCACGACTTGTGGCGTTTGAAGCATGTCGCATCCTCTTCCGACTTGGTTGTGACGTCCGCGTTTTCGACCCGGAGGGACTCCCCGTAAAAAACGACGTCGACCACGGTCACCCCAAGGTCCAGGAGCTCCGTGGCCTCAGTCAGTGGAGCGATGGGCATATATGGGTCTCGCCTGAGCAGCACGGTAACCTGGTTAGTGACCAGCCAATCCCCATTTCTCTATTCATCCGCTAACCTTCTGATACCAGACCGCAGTCTTCAAGAACCAGATAGACTGGATCCCCCTTAGTACCGGTAGTATCCGCCCCACCCAGGGCCGTACATTGGCTATTGCCCAAGTCTGCGGTGGATCGCAATCATTCAATGCGGTCAATTCTTTGCGTATCCTCGGTCGGTGGATGCGTATGTTTACCATACCAAATCAGTCCTCCATCCCCAAGGCGTACACTCAGTTTCCAGATGAAGGCCAGCCGGGAGACCAGAGGCTTATGCCTAGTGGCAACCGGGACCGTTTAGTGGATTGTATGGAGGAATTTGTGAAGTACACGATCCTGATGAGACCTCACATGGAGCTGTTTGGGGATCGCTTCAGTGAGAGGGAAGAGAAGAGAGTGAAAGAGGAAAAGTTAAAGGCAGCTGCATCCATGTAGGACAGCAATACTTTATATGTACATACCCGGCATCGGTCTAAAGCGCCGACTGTCCTTGATGGCACAAGTGTGCTGGGACGTCATTTCCGTTTGTATATACATTATTAAACCGCGTGAATATACTAGGTTAACCAAGTCCACTGTCCTAGATTGAGTACCAGGTCCTTGCCCCCAAGAACTATCTAGAATCCCACTGGCCATTCAACACCGATCATAGAAGAGGTCTTGAGAAAAGATTATTAGGCTAGCTACCCATGCTAGCTGAGAAGGTCCAAGATGGTTTGACGAGATAGGAACTTTACGAGAACATGCCACAATATAAGACGAAGAATCTTATGAGGGCCTTGCAGGGCTATCTGGGGGGTCTGGAGTTTTGTCCCCTTGACTCTTCCTTGATGGAGAAGTATGTGGATTATCTACGGAGCCATTTCTCTTGGGTGGTATGAGATTGAGATCCTCGCTTGGTATGGACCAAATTCCATGAGCTCCGTTCTTCCTATTATAATAGTGAGTTAAAAACGTTGAAGTACGGGTTTGGCTCTGGAGCCCTCGCTGCTGTATTCGTGAACTAGGGTTAACGTTTATAAAACATTTCTTCTGTTTTTCTTTTTCTTCTTTCTTTCCTTGGCAATATTGTTAGATAAAGGTCTGACAAAACAACTGCTAGAGATTGGACTAAAGTATCTCATATGATTGACATCTTGCATATTTAATTGGCTGGCACTGGATGTGACCCAAAGCAAGAGAAGATTAGTGACACTCGAGTAAGCAAATGGTCAAGCTTACGGTGTGACATACGCAATACCCGCAGGCTTATGTTTGTATCCACCGTAGGTCTGTAAGATCAAGCCACAATCCACGAGATCAATAGTCCCAAACTACTACGGCTTCATCCATGTGAACAGGTATTACCAGTGTATAAAGCCATCGAATGGGCTTACGCATGACGTATCTTGCCCTTCATCCGGATTCCCTATATAATGCACACCTGGGACTCATGCTTCACTTCCTACTTCTTTTATCTTGTTCGAGATTCGAGATTCCCACCGTTATACCACTAGCCATGGAGTCGCTACTGCCATTCATTAGCTCTTTCTTACCCACATGGTATCTGGGGTGGCTTTTGCTGCTCACAGGGATTGTGGGATTGGATTGCCTCTCCGTCATTTGGACTTTCTTTCACTAACGTTAATCTCAGTGGGTATGCTTCCATATCGGCCTTGCCTTATATAACGTCTTCCTCCATCCACTGCGCAAATACCCAGGACCAATCCTCTGTGCCGCTAGTCAGCTTCCACATTCATACCATTTGACCGCCGGAGATAGCTGCAAGTGAATTGCCAGGCTTCATGAAAGATACGGCGATGTCGTGCGCATCGGACCCCGAGAGCTCTCATACATCACCACCTCCGCCAACCGCGCTATATTCAACAACCGTCCTATGGAAGCAACAGTCTACGAGAAGAACCCGGTCGTCTGGCTGCAGGGCTCTGGAGTCAGCCTCAATATATTCTTTGCTCGGCACAAAGAACACATGCGATACAAGAAGCTGATCGCGCCGGCGTTCTCGGAGGCAGCAATCCGGGAACAGGAGCCGGCTATTCAACGCTTTATCGCGGAGTTTATGGACGGGCTACGCGTGAGGTCCGGTGATGAGATGTATCCTGATACCAACGGGGTGGTGGACTTGTATGCGTGGTTTAACTTCAGCATCTACGACGTTCTCACCAAGCTCGCGTTCGGTGCGTCTGTGGGCTGTCTTGATCGCGGCGATTACCATCCCTGGGTCCGGGCCGTGTTTGGCGCCATCAAACACTCGCACTTCGAGCAGGCTGCTCACAGACTCAAGCCGTATCATCGCCTTCTGGAGAGGTTCATTCCGTCCGACGTCAATGAGTCGTATTCCACCCACCTTCACTTTTCCCATCGACAGCTGGAGGAGCTACAGAGGATTGTTGAAGATCCCAGTGCCAAGATTGGCAGAGCGGAATTCACTTCATTCATGCTCAAGGGCATGAGTAAGGAGGAGCTTGAGGACAACGTCAATATAATCGTTGCAGCAGGCGCCGATACCACTGTGACCGCTTTGGCTGCTGTCACCTACTATATCAGCCATCATCCGGACAGCTACAAGAAACTGACCGCGGAGATCCGCAACACATTCACACGGGAAAGTGACATTACTGCAGTCGCGGTCGGTCAACTATCATACCTGAAGGCTGTGATAAAGGAATCTCTGCGCTGTCACCCCTCGGTCCCCGTTGGGCTCCATCGTGTCGTTCCCAAACAGGGCGGCATCATTGATGAAAAATGGGTGCCTGGTGGTGTAAGCAACATTCCCTATCCCCACCCACGTTTGTTGATTCTTGGCCTGAAAGCTAACCCACTCGCAGACATGGGTATCAGTCTCTCCGTACGCGGCATACCGCTCGTCCCGACACTGGCGCGACCCCGAACGGTTCATCCCAGAGCGCTGGCTTGGGGAAGATGAGGCCTTCGCAGATGATGATAGGGATCTCTGTACTCCGTTCTCAATCGGGCCGCGTAGCTGCATCGGAATCAAGTAAGTGACGGCATTCGACCTTCTCTCTCCGAAGAACCTGATCATTGCCCGGTTGCTGTGGAACTTTGATCTGCACGCTCAGCCGGACAACGTCGATCCCAGTGAACAACAAGGGTTCGGCGTTTGGGCGGGTAGGCCTTTGCGTATTTGGCTTACGCCTGTTGACCACGTACAGTGAGCTGGGTGATTTGCTGGCTGGAGTTTACGCACTGATTGTATGGCGTATTGATATATTTACAGACTAGGGGTTAGCATAGGAGTGTTGCGGCTAGAAAGTACTTCGCAGTTATGATCTACGGATATTAAAGGCATAGAATAGGCATGAGTCAGATTCTGTCTCCAGGGTTGGAGCCATTGCTTTCTGATAGAGAGGAGGAACTGATGTGTTTATGTCTTGTCCTCTCGCTAAGGTATCTATTGTTAAGGGTCTACTGTCGAGGGTCTACTGTTTTGTAACGGAGGACCTGCTATACAGGGTAGATAGCCTGTCAAACAGGCAAGGATACATAGGCGAACAGAAAGGAAATTGTCTAATGACTGAATAGCAGAACGAAGACAAAATAGACTGGTTTTTGCCCCTTATTCGTCCCTGGTTCTCGTTAAAGAGCTTCAAATCCTCCCCTTTCCGGTATGTCTATCCCATTTTAAAATAGACTCATTGGTCAGGTGACATATTACCCAGCTGGCTCCGAACGGAAACGGGGGCCAGGATCTCTGTATAATGAACTGGGACCAGAAACTATGCAAAGGCCACCGGGTTATAGGGGTCCCAGGGCTCTGCAGGATTACAAATGCCTCTATTGTCTGTCCAGAAAAGTACCAACTAGATTCTAACAACATAACCCCCGGATTCATATATCTAGGCAGTAACAAATACGGTTTGAGAGATATAATAGCTGATTCTGGATTCTAGATTGGTTACTCCCTTTGTCTGAATTGAATATCATTCAAACTGCATGGAATGCTTAGACTTCGGCAGAACCAATTATGGGTTCAAGCTTTGGAGTCTGGCCACAAAGTCCAACCCACGTCGGCTTCGGGTCCAATTCTCTAGCCCATCAACCTCTAATGGGTTGAGGTCGGGTTGGGCTAGGATTTGGATGAGCTCTACCGAAGTGTAGGAATGCCCTTGATCATGATATTATAGATTTTCCAAGTCCGTCCTAGTCACACTGAATTCGAGCTGTATATAAAATATATAGGTAGTATACTAAATAACGAGCTGTAACGGCAGGTTCTATAGGTCACTCCAGGGCATTCTCGAGCGACGATCCAGAATTATTATGAATTTTTGAGCTTGTGGAATGCAGTACTCCGGACGTATCTCTTGCACGAGCTTAGGGATCTATAGAGCCTATTTTGAGCCCGAAAGCGTTTAATTTACTTGAGATATTGAGGTTTAAACGCGGTGCCTCGGAGGCCAAAATCCAGGTGTTGCAATACTTTTGACCTATCACTTTAGCTAGGGATCACTAAGACAGGACGAAATACCCGTGGCGTGGATATGCTTCAGTCCATGTCTTGAGAAGGGCCATTCCTAGCCCTAGGCGCTTGCGCACGCCTCCAACAGTCTCCAAAAGGATAAGGGTAACGTAGTGAATCTGAAAGCTGCCGGGCAGAAGGCTTCCCTGTACGGGGTCTAGTCCTCGCAAGTCATACCAAATGGCATCCTTTTCGGAGGTCAATCCGCTTTCACAAAGAGGATTTCTTGAGAAATCGGCGGATGATACGACGAATATAGAAATGGCAAGTAAATCGTAATAGCGGCTCGGATTCTGAAACCGCAAATGAGAGACGTGGCTCTGATCAAAACTCTTTGGGAGTAGACATCCCACAAGTCTGCCATGTGTATCCTGGAGCTTCATGTATCCTCCCATGAGAGGTGTGATCTGAACTTGGACCGATTGTGTATACGCCAGAACTCTCCCTGGCCGGGATACTTCTTGTATTTCGGCCGATGAGAGAGAACCACCCTGGAAGTTGGACAAGGCACCATGCTGTATCTCAGTTTTACCATGAGCATCGTGAAGAAGAGATGTAAGCGAATCCCATATCAGCTGCATGATATCGTAATGCCCCTTCCAAGTGAAAGTTGACTTTAACACGTCTGGTAGCTGCCCTGTAAAGCAGCCTGCCGTCCAGGCCCGCACGACCCCAAGGGCCAACCCTTTTGAATATGGTCTATTCCAATTGTCGGGCATGACCGGCGCTGGGAAAAGTGGTAAAGTGTGGAATTCTGCTCGACCGAGCCGATCAGTCGACACATAGGCCCACAAAGCAATGGGTGCCTCAACCTTGGTCTCGCGGGACAATAGATACTGAAATTCAATTTGACCCACAACCGATGACCATGACCATGACGGGAATATATCGCCAGTTGGGGCCTCCCTAGGCAGATAGTGGCCATCAGTTGTTGTCCACATCAGAGCCCTACAGAAATACTTCCATGGTAGCCCAAAAAATGATGATGATCAAAACCTGAATTCAGGACTCCAGTAACTGCGCGGAGAATATCTGATTGAACAGAGAAGTTGCGCTTTGTATATCCTTCAACAAGTGTTTTGTATCGATGGAATGTCCAATACATCCCGTTGGGGACATCAAACAGGCGCGCTCCAACCCCATTTCTTTTACGCAATGTTTTAACCTCATCGGCTACAGAGCTGGCACATTCGTAAAACACCCCATATTCAGAGAAGAACAACAGCCTCTGGGACAGAATACCCTCTTGGAAGGTCCAGCCTCGATCATTCCAGGGTGAATTCTGGACCGCCCTGGCGAATGAAATGGGTGTTGGAGCCACATATATCCCTTGAGTTGCAAAGACACTGGGTGTAGCTCGATTTGATCCTGAGATACCGGAAAGGCCATGGTGGACATGGTTTCCTGTCAACATAACAATAGTGATAGCGGCATTGCTATATATGATGTCCATAGAGTTAATTTGGATCTGCTTCTCGGTGGTCGCGTCTTGTAGGATACAAAGCCGGTCGACCCAGAGATACGGCATGCCAATTTTCAAACAGACTGTCATGGCATCCCGAATTGTGGCTGGAAGTGGTGGTTGGCTGGGGAACCCTTTTTCTTCCAGATCTTTTATATTGGATATTGTGGCTTCCATGTCTGCATTGGATTTAGGACCCCAGACATAGCTCAATGCAGCATATTTGCACCCTGCCGGTGCAAGGACTACAGCTTTCCGTTCAACGTCAATAACTCGAAATCCTGGAATCTGATGGTTTGCAGAGCGAATAGCTCTGCAGTAACGATAATGGTTGTTTTGGCAGCTCGCGAGCAATGTATTAATCTGCTCCCAGTCCACTTCCGCGTTGGGGCGTTGAACCAAGTCAGGATTGCTTGCTGTAGTCAAATTCATCGAGCAGGGCTCAACGACCCATACGTCTGGCTCATGTAGGGGGTAGAACCTATCGGCATTATATTGGGTAAGGGGCACACGCTCGTCATCTGCAATAGTCGTCAGCTGCAAGAAGAAGGAATACATTCTGTGTGCAACTACCAGAATGCTGACTGTCTTCAAACACTAATTCAGCACCGAAAAGAGGATCACTGTTACTTTTCTTTGTTATCTCCAAGATCACCTCATAGTCTGACTTCACAGATCGTCCCACACTGTTGCAGAATTGTTGGCAGAGTGCGCATTCCTTTGCGCGCTTCTGCAGATCTCGCACACTTCCGAGGCGGATTGCAAAATCCGATTCTGAATACCGGCGGCACTTTGCATGGAGCTCTGTATAGCTATCAAAACAACGGATGAAATGACCGAGCCTCATGTGTCGACACACCTGGCAAAGCGGTTCCTCGGGGGAAATCACGCACATGGAGCAGTCTGCATGGAAAAAGAATTTTCGGATCTCATCTAACGTTTCATCATGCAACACTCTAGTGGACGGCGCCTGGATTTGTATGAAGCATGAGCAAAAACGGCATTGATCGGCCTTTAAAGACGCCTCTGGTCGACTGCGAAAGCAAATGCGGTGCAGCATCGTGAGATGACCAACGAAGGTTTATGGAAAACACAGTCAAAGCACAGGGGGGTGAGACGATACACATTTATATACATGGGCTGTATACTAATCCACACTAAGCCATGCTAGGCGCATGAACCCCGCAGTGAAGATTGGTTGGACACACATGCAGGGCGTGGGTTTGATCGTACCAGTTGGCATACAGAATTATCCCATGATTTTCTATGGGAAAAGGATTCTAAGAATTCACATTGTTTCTAATATGTCGTATACGCATATACGGACTTGTTCCCCATATATAAAGGGGCGTGGTTGAATAGCCTTCCTACATGTTTTATTTATCAACCGTTATATTGAGGGGGGGGATAACGTGATAGAAAACCAGGTCAAGTCCCCCTATTTAGCCTCACAAAAATTCTACTGCGTTATCTAGTTCATCCACTTACTCACTAGCTCACTGATCTACTCACCCACCCTGCTCACCAGCGCTTTGGACAATATCACTTCAATCACCCACTCACCCTGTGACTCAGCGGGGCGCAGCCATAAAGCAGCAACTTCCAAACGGCTCCCTTTCCAGCCAGCCACATCCACTATGTGGCTTAGGTACGGCTGAGCAGATGGGAAACCCTGTGCTCCACATCCTATAGTCGTATGTATTAGCTTACCCTAAGTATTGGATCATATAGTGCATCATTGAAGAATTATACAACCAAGTATATTAATCATGTGGAATTCAATATAATCATCATCATCAACAGATACAAAACAGGTCTCGTAACATCGCCATTCTACTCACATCCAGAAGAGAACTTCACCCAAAACGAGGCATCATATTCGTCCATAAGCTCCGTATATTCCGGTCCTGCAGCCGCCCAGCCTTTGATTCCACCTTCCAGGACCAGACTCTTCAGGGTCGTGTCTCCTTGATCCTGAAGATAATCCGCGAACCAGCCGCCGGCCCGCGTTCCACGGCCTGCGGATGACCCTGTAGATACATCAGTAACGCGTTTCTACTTACTATTATAATTGTCTAGTGAGATAACATACCACAATACCAAATGACACTCTCCACCTTACTCGCCGATAGAAGCGTGTATAGGGTAGGAATGGTGGGATAGAGACTCTGGGCTGGGAGGTTTAAGGAACCCCGGATAGTGCCTCCCTAGGTGTTTCTGTCAATTGATGCCCGGCATATTAGGTGGCTTAGCTTTCCAGCTTACCTCGAAATCTGCACGTCGCAGATCTACTAGCACAAAGTCCTTTCCCGGCTGTTTACCCTCCTTGAGCCATTGTAGTAGCTCCTGGCGGGGTAGCTTGGCTGCGGTGGTTCTGGGGGCGGGGTAGGCTGCGTGCCACGGAGCTTCAGGGGTAGACATATTGGGGAGATGTATTTATTGCTTACGAAGGAGGATGGTGGAATGTTGACATTATCGTAGGACGTCTTGATAGTTGACAACTTGATCCCCACTCCAAATAGGGCTAGGGCGGGGTATGTCACCCTTCTATTCTTATTGGCTGTTTGAAGCTGAACGAATCCACTTGGCATTGACCAATCAGCATTGACCAGTGACATGCCGTGAGTATCAAAATCTAGTACAAGGGATATAGGGTTCACGGAAGATGACTCCATCTACACCACATGTATAACCTCACTCGAGACGGAGAGTGTGTTTCTCTGTGATTATACTACCGAATTGTGCTTCTAGCCAACAAATAATACCACCAGACTCCTCCAGCAGGTTCACCCCTACTCTCATGCCATCTCATAAGGAACAGTGAAACAATCATGGCATGTGCGAAAGGCCAAACAAATCCGAAATACTCCTCGGAACCCACTATAGAGACACCAGGACCAACAACAGATGTGGAGAAACAAGCGGATCCAGAGTCCTCAGAGAGGCCTCAGGAAAAGCAGTCGGCGTTCAAGAATCTCGGACTTCTGGACCGATTCCTCGCAGTATGGATCTTTCTAGCCATGGCAATTGGAATTATCTTGGGCAACTTCGTCCCCAACACCGGGCCTGCGTTGCAACAAGGGAAGTTTGTGGGAGTATCAATTCCTATAGGTGAGCGTTCCTGGTGATCTTCCTTGACCCCCGATTGCTAATCCCATTTCGACAGCCGTTGGCCTGCTCGTCATGATGTATCCCATTCTATGTAAGGTCAGATATGAAAGCTTGCATCATGTCCTCGGAGCTCGGGGGATCTGGGTCCAGATTGCCTTCAGTATAATTGTGAATTGGATCATTGCTCCGTTTTTTATGGTATGTCTTTTTATGCTTGTCTACTCGTCCAGCTTCTAACAAGACTTTTAGTTAGCATTGGCATGGGCCTTTTTACCCGACGAGCCAGAGCTACGACAAGGACTGATTCTTGTTGGACTGGCACGGTGTATCGCTATGGTAAGTTAAATCTCCCCCCTAAACCTCATAGCCTAGGGGTCTGCACCCCCAACGTTGAAGCTCACAATAACTAGGTCTTAATCTGGACAGGCCTCGCCGGAGGCGACAACGAATACTGCGCAATCCTAGTCGCCATCAACTCGCTCCTCCAGATGGTCCTGTTCGCGCCAATGGGGGTATTCTTCATCGAAGTAATCAGCGGCGACAGCATCAGATTCGAATATAGCACCGCCGCCAAAAGTGTCGCAGTCTTCCTTGGAATCCCCCTTGGCGCCGCAATCCTCACACGCTTCGTCCTGCGCTGGACAACAAGTGCACGGTGGTACGATCAGGTATTCCTGAAATGGATCAGCCCGTTGTCCCTTATCGGACTCCTATTCACGATTCTGGTGCTCTTTGCCTCGCAGGGTCGCCAGGTGGTGCATCAGATTGTCTCTGTGATCCGGGTCGCGGCACCGCTCATCGTTTACTTTTCTGTTATCTTTTTTGCAACGCTTTTCATCGCGTATAAAATGGGTTTTGGGTACAGGTTGGCAGCCACGCAAAGCTTCACGGCGGCTAGCAATAACTTTGAGCTGGCTATTGCTGTTGCGGTGGCGACCTTTGGGGAGAATAGTAATCAGGCTCTTGCTGCTACTGTCGGGCCGCTTATTGAGGTTCCGGTGCTGTTGGGGCTGGTTTATGCTGTGAAGCTGGTGGCGAAGCGGTTGGGCTGGAAGGATTGATTAATATGTAATATAGATGGGGACCTGTGATTAGACTAAAATCCTTAATTTTCGTGATAGTGTTCAAGGCCAGTCTGAGCTATCAGTGTGGCCATGATCTCATGCTACACAGTATTGGTGGTCAAGCATTTGGGGGCATGTAGTCAAACGTTTCCACTTCATCTGTGATCGGGAACCCGTGAAGGCCTTCGAAAATATCATCATTCCACGCTGTATCCTGGAAGAGGATTTGCAGCGCCGGATCGATGGCAAATAATGTCGGATTTGGGTCCTCCGTTGCCAGAACAGGCTGTAGCTGGGAGTGGTCAGCGTGAACATTTGCATTCGGCCTCGTACCCGAAGGAGTCATGGAAGACTGTTGCGATCGCTCCGATTGGTCTCTGATTCTTTCCAGAACAGCCAGACATCGCGTTGCAGCTTCGTTATTCTGGCTCAGCTGGGCCAGGCAGTCGCGCGCCTTTGATATAGAGAGCGCCCACAGCTCCTGATTCACGGAATCTGGGCTCATATCCAGGGGCTGGTCCGGTCTCAAGTAATGGATGCTAAGGACAATGGTGGCCTGGAATAGAAAGTATGTGGCGTACCAGCTCAGACCAACATGGATGTTGTCGCGGTAATCCAAGCAGAACGTTGTAATGTCTTGGATGGTCTCAATCGCAACGTAATGACACATGTTCCGTGCTTCTTCGACATCTGATAATAAGCTGCAAAGACGCTGGCTCCCCCACCATAGCATCATTCTCAGATTTTGTTCCTTCCACCCGACTACTGCACGCGGGCCTCGAAACCAATCTGGCACGTCTTGTGCTGTGAAATACACGGGCAAGGAAAGCCTCCAGGCCTTCAATCGATGATCGAGTGACCGAGAGATCCTCAAGTCGAGGATGTTCTCTTTCGGGGCGGAAATGACATTGCTATAGATGTTGTTTCCAATGGAGGCTAGTCGCGCCTGTGCGATTATGGCAGAATATGTTGTAGGTCCGTCTGATGGTGTCGGGAGTATCGAGCTTAACGTGCATGCCTGCAAGTCCAATAAGTCCTCTTTCCTTAGCCACGGATAACTTTCTATCTTACCGAATCGTCTATGTTACGGGGCAAACAGGTCTCAATAAAACCATCTGAGGCCATGACGGGTCTCCCAGTAGTAATGCCGAACCCACTATCGAAGCAATACACGATCCACCAGACGACCCTTCTTCGCTCATGGAACAGTGAATCAGTCTTCGTTGCGGCGGGCGGCTCACGATGAAGTCCCAATCCAAGAGCCATGCGGTACGCTATTCCGATGAAGTTGTATCCAGTATTTGGTCGATCTCGCTTCTGGAGATAGTTTCCCTTATCCTTGTCAGTATGCTCAACGTGGTGGTTAATATTGATGGTGACTGACAACTAGGAGAAACGCTTGAACCGTGAGGAGAGTTCCAGACTCCAACATATGCATTGACATGCGCGATCGTGCGGCGGAATAATATTGACATTCTCGAGAGCCGGACGTGCCACCGAGAATCCAATTCCCGATTGCCAGGACAATGTAGAATATTGAATGCCAACTTGACCGATCTTGAAGTTGATGGCGCTCTTGATATTGTTGTCGAAATGTACTCTCATGCAAAATCGGGTAGGATGTATTATAATACGTGAAGTATGCGTTTACTAGACCATCAAGAATGGCGGAGGTACCCAGATGTGCTGAACGCAGAAGGTCCGGACCCCTAATAGAGTCATCAAGTGAGGGTTGTGTCCGCTGATTGGTCTCTAAATTAGAACTCTCGGGGATCAAGCCTGGGACGTTTCTCAAGATACTAGACCCTGCGCTGTTACCTGAAAATACTATTAGCTCCAAGTAGGTAGACCTATATTCCTTGCAACCTACCGAGATAGCCAGCTTCCGCGCTCCCTGTGGGCAAAGATGCCATGCCATCCAGACCCACTCTTCGAAGCTCAGTAGGAGACCCTAGCGAAGCTTCGCTCCATTCAAACTCATCTACCGAAGCGGGGCTCACTCCGCCAAAAGCTGAGGCCTGCAGACCACCTGGCGGAATAGTCATCGTCTTCAGTGCGTCCTCAATATCAACATCCGGGTTCAGCCGATGCAAAAGCGCCGTTAAACTGGCGCAGCGACGTTCTATTTGATCCATGTTTCTAGATACTTGTCAGAGATACAACCCTATCAGGGCATAATACAACACTCACTTGCGCGTCAGTGGCGTTCGCAGCGATGGACGGCCGAAGATGCATGGTTTGTTGGCTCGGGAACAGTACGAGCATGGCGGCGTCCCGGAGCACTGTGGGGCGTGTGAGCAGGTAAAATCTAAGTAGCGAATTGACTGGTGTAGTTACCTTGCTTTTACGTTTCTATAGTGTCTCGCGCAACACGTTAATGAGATGTCCTCCTCTACTCCGGTGATGCTTTTTCTCACCCGACATTCTGTACACTATCACATATTAGTTGTATGATAAGACAGACACTGCATCGCAACTTACTGCTCGCAACTCGTGCGGACCTGGTGGAGAAGTAGAGGATTTTGGCATTGTGGATGCAAGGAAATATCACACTCAACGTTGATAAGATTTAATCCTCACAAGATTCTAAATCGAACTGGTCATTGATATGGCTGGTATGGATGTCGATTAGCATGCTGGTGGTAACGTTGGGTATGGAGGATGCAAACATCCCGAGACGCCCGAGAAAAAGGCTTGCGTTTCCAGGTGACTAAGTCGAACCCTAATAGCCTAGGTGCAGAACTATAATCATCCATCGTTTGGTTCTAACTGTCTGTCTTTCGATCTGCTGTTGCATTTATAAATAGCTGCTATCGTTGGTTACTATGTGAACTGCAATACTTGAATCTTATAGTGCGTGCTAGATATTGAGCTATTCTCATATGTTAACCTCAGGCTCCTAAATATATAACGTTTGTGAACATACCATATTACATTACGAAGATATAACAAGCACTATTACTTAGTATCCCAGGTCTTGCACCTTCGTTTGTTTTCCAAAAGAGAGTTTATATTGAAAGATTTCACTAGAAAATATATATATAAAAAAAACCGCCAGTAACTAGGGGTTTAGAATGGAGGAGCGGTGTATAGATGCGAGATCTTGATTAGATTTGTCATGCCAAAATAGATGAGCTCACGAGGTCCAAACGAGGAAAGAACACGAGAAACAGGACTACTAGGACATTGTCACCCTTTAAAACGAGAGTACTATTGTTATAATTTACTATCATCTGATCGTACTGATCACTATATCCAATAATCTGACTACCAGCTGCCACGACAATCCCATAATCTGGGATACCCCACGGGGATATCCCTACGGAGAACAGGTCTCCGATGCTGACAGATCAGTTCATTATAAATTCTTGGAACTAGGGCAAGAGCGTCGTGGAGTTTTCTCTTCTGCCATTAGAGGGACTCGTCTTCGGGCGACAGACAGCCGACGGAAGTGTAACGGGTGGGTCAAGCTCTGGCGAGAACGTCGGTTTGTTCAATCTTGAATAACCGAGGGCTAGTCGGACAGGCACACACTCCGGAAAGGCTTACATGGGGATATGATTTGTTACTGTTCGGCATGCAGTCGCACGAGGATGTGCTGGGACGATGTGGAAGCAGCCGTCAGTAGGAGCATGGGAAGGCGATCAGCGATACAGAACTCGTGTGCTTTCGTTACTTGTGCTTGGCTTAATCAGAACCATGCTATGTGAAAAATAGTGTTACTAAATGTGGTCTATAAATATTTATTCATTGCTAGGATCTGCTCAAGGAAGCGTGTATCCTCCGTCAATAATGACGTCGCTTCCAGTAGTATAAGTAGAAGCATCACTAGCGAGGTAAAGGTATAAACCCTTGATTTCCTTAGTATGTCCCTGGCGACCGAGAGAGGACATACGATAGGCCTCGTTAATTGCAAGTGGGCTTGCACCCATCTTAGTGTCGAAAAAGCCGGGCGAGACGATATTAACGCGAGCGAACTCCCGCCATTCACGGGCAAGGGATTTTCCAAAATGTGTAATGAAAGCCTTGCTTGCATTATAAACTGGCTGGTCTGTGGGTACATTGACAATGTGCGCGCTCATGCTGGATGTTATGATCAGGTTTCCGCTGCCTTGACGCTGGAATACTTCGCCGGCGTACTTGGCGCAGAAGACAACGCCGTCGACTGGGAGATGGGCTTAGTATAGTGGAAGTCGATTTTTAAGGGTAGTGAAGCCTTACCGTTAACTGACATCTGCTTCTGATATTCGTCTAACTTTTGTTCCAATATGGGCTTTGAGATGGCCATTCCTGTTCAATGTCAACGTGCCATCCCTGACGTTGTGTTATAGATTAGATGCCTTACCAGCGTTAGCAACAAACACATCGATCTTTCCGAAGTCCCGAACCACATCTGCAATAGCCTTCTGCACCTGTTCGGCGTCCGAGACTATAAGACTGTAGTCAGCATGATGAGGTGCCGGTCACCGAACGTATATACAACTTACTATCAACCTTGTAGGCAATGGCCTTAATTCCATGGGTTTGTGCAAGAGATTCAGCCTTCTTAATAGCGGCATCATTTCTTCCCAGATTATATTAACTCACTGCTAATGTGCATTCTTGATAAGACCTTGACTTACGAATTATACCAGAGGGCAACATCCGCGTGAGCCTCCGCCATGGCCTCTGACACCGCATAGCCGATACCATCCGCTGCGCCCGTCACCACAGCTACTCTTCCCAACATCTTGAATTGCTCCAAGACATTGGTCGGTGTATTTGGGAAAGGACGGGGGAATCCATCGCGGATCGTTGTGCAGTCGGCTACGGTCATAGACATTTCGACGGTTGTGGATGGAAATCAATGACTTTCTGGGGTGTTGAGCGCTTAGACACAGTGACAAACAAGCAACCTACTTATAGCTGGCATGGAACGACATTATTTGGATGCAACTCATTCAGCTGAGGGGCAAATCCAATCCTTGGGGCTCACATACGGGTACCTATGTGCCGATCCGATAGATGCGTGAGAGTCTCTACGGGCCACTGTGCCCCGACTGTCGTACCAGGTGATCATCATAGACATATACTGATGGAAATAAGATGGGATTGTGAGTTCTGTTTTGTCTTTCGGCACTGCCATACTCTGTCTCTCATAGTCTCAAAGTGGACCCAGGGCCAGGGCGTCCATACCGACCTTCACTGAGAACGAAACCACACGGTAAAACTCAAGACGCAGATGAGTATCAAGGAAGTCCTCTATGTTACTTTCCACAGGAAACAAACAATATACCTACCCTGGTAACCTTTCACAACGACGTGCGGGCCCTGGCTTTCCAGAGTTCTAAGAACCTCCACATGCAGGCCAGCATTTGTCGTTGGTATTTGCGAATTGTTTATTTCCTACAAAGCGGCGGGGAATCGCCGGGGTCCGGGGGATAATGTGTCATTATTCCTTGACTCGGTTGAATGGATAGAGGAACAACGGTCGGGTCTGGTATGATCAAGGTGGATATCAGAATTTTGGTTAGAGCCAATGTCGTTTGTAGGGCGAGCTGTCGGCACACAGTGAGCCGATGCAAGTCGCAAAGGCTAGCCTTGCCCCAGGCTTATAGACACCGCGAAAATCTAGTATTTTGCCTAGCATTTACCTTTTTTGGTCCTACTGACACTCCACGTAACAAAAATATACGACTTAGCTGCAGTTATGCTCTAACCTGGGGTCTGGCTTCCAGGAGATAGGTTTAGAGTCTTAAAACGGTATACGGGGCGGTCTCAACAGTCCTACATCTAGGTAGACAAGAAGTCATCAACACACTCCACATGAATATAATGATAACTATTAGCTCCTAGGACATAGCATAGCGTACATTCCCCTGCTAATATGAGAGCATATCAACCACCGTCTGAGATCATACTTCCTCAACATTTTCGACATGGCTATCGGTGTCCTTCTCCTGCTTCCCATCAAGTCCAGCCCCAACACCAAGCTGTCTGTAAATGTTTGCCAGTCGCATCGCGTCTTGTTCTCCCTGACTACCGCCGAAAATCTTATCCATTTCTTCGATGGGCACACCATTTGTCTCCGGAAGGAAGAAGTACACCCAGACGGCGAGAAAGACACAGAAGGCTGTACCAAATTAGTGGTCCACTGAGGAAGAAGACACGGGAGAGATCAACGTACCTAAGAAGAAGTAAAACGTGCCGAATTCAATCGACTCCAGCATTCGAGGGGTGATAAGTGCCACAATAAACTGATCCCGCAGGTTAGTTTTACTAGAAAGCAGTATAACGGGAAAAGTCGTACATTGCTCAACCAATTTGTCCCGATGGAAATACCAACGGCTTGGGACCGCACCCCTGGGGGGAAGATCTCAGAGGGAATAACCCAGTTCACGCAGCCAATGCTATACGCGAAGTTACATACGTACAGCCACACAAACACCGCCGTGGCCCAGCCAGCACTCCGGTTGCTGGCCCAGGAACTTTTGTACACGGCATAGAGGGTAGCTACTATGAGCTGGGAGATGCCCATTCCGGCGGCACCTGCAAGGAGAACCTTTCTGCGGCCCCAGCGATCCATGTACATGATGGCCGGGATAGTGCAGAGGAAGTTCAGAATCCCGATAACACCAGTCGCGAGGAGATCTACCGAGCTGCCGGACAGGCCAATCTTCCTGAAGATCTGGGGTGCGTAATAAATGATAGCGTTGATGCCTTGGTGAAGTTAGTCTAGCGAAATTATATAGTGATGAAATGATTTACCCGTGAATTGCTGGATCAATTGGAGGAGACAGGCGAGCAAGAGGCGGCGGTTCAAATGCCGAAAGGTAAACAGGGATTTATATCTTTCGTAGCTCAGACGGATAGGCGACGTGACTCCTGGAAACATGGCAGCAGTTGTCTTGTCATCGAACATCGCTGATGCCTTGATCTCGAGCATTTCCTGAATGATGCGGTTGTCGCTCCTAGGCACACGACGCACGCGGGAGAGTGTCGATATAGCTTCGTCTTCTCTGTCTGAAGTTCTGTTAGCTACTTGTTCTGCTCCACTTAGTACTTCAACAAGCTTACTCTTCATCACCAGCCAGCGGGGAGTGTATGGCAAGAAGAATGTTCCAAAGCCCAGTATCAACGAAAATAGACATTGCAAAGCGAGAGGAAAGCGCCATGCAGCGGGCGATTGCCCGTCCCCTGTTCCACCGATATGTTGGGTTCCGAAATTCAGCCAGAAGGCTATCATGATCCCCCCTGTAATTGCGAATTGCTGTAGAGCAACAAGCCCACCTCGCAGATTGGGTGGTGCTAGCTCACTGATATAAAGAGGAACCACCATTGAAAGCTGACCAATTGCTAACCCTGCGATGAACCGACTGATAAAGATCATCGGCACATTGACTGATGCAGCTTGGATAATGGATCCGATAAGGAAGATAATATTGGCAAGGAGGATGGACCAACGTCGAGAGAGACGATCGGCGATGGGCCCATTGACCAGGGCACCGAACATGGCACCCAATGTGAGAACAGAAACCAGCCAACCTTGG